AGAGGTAAAATCCAACACTCTGGATGCAGCTGCACGCCATGGCGGATTAAAGACAGGCCGAACGCGTCTCTGGTGGAATTTAAATCTCATAGTTGTTATGGCCATAGAAAGTCTCTCTCTCTCTCTCTCTCTCTCTCTCTTCTCTCTCTCTCTCTCTGTGTCTCTCTGTCTCTCTCTCTCTCTCTCTCTCTCTCTTGTCTCTCTCTGTGTCTCTCTGTCTCTCTCTCTCTCTCTGTCTCTCTCTGTGTCTCTCTGTCTCTCTCTCTCTCTCTCTCTCTCTCTCTGTCTCTCTGTCTCTCTCTCTCTCTCTCTCTCTCTCTGTCTCTCTCTCTCTCTCTCTCTCTCTGTCTCTCTCTCTCTCTCTCTCTGTCTCTCTCTCTGTCTCTCTCTCTCTCTCTGTCTCTCTGTCTCTCTCTCTCTCTGTCTCTCTCTCTCTGTCTCTCTCTCTCTGTCTCTCTCTCTCTGTCTCTCTCTCTCTCTCTCTGTCTCTCTCTCTCTCTCTGTCTCTCTGTCTCTCTCTCTCTCTGTCTCTCTCTCTGTCTCTCTCTGTCGCTCTCTCTCTCTCTCTCTGTCTCTCTGTCTCTCTCTCTCTCTCTCTCTGTCTCTCTCTCTCTCTCTCTCTCTCTCTCTCTCTCTCTCTCTCTCGTCTCTCTCTCTCTCTGTCTCTCTCTCTGTCTCTCTCTGTCGCTCTCTCTCTCTCTCTCTGTCTCTCTCTCTTCTCTCTCTCTCTCTCTCTGTCTCTCTCTCTCTCTCTGTCTCTCTCTCTCTCTCTCTCTCTCTCTCTCTCTCTCTCTCTCTGTCCTCTCTCTCTCTCTCTCTGTCTCTCTGTCTCTCTCTCTCTCTCTCTCTGTCTCTCTCTCTCTCTCTCTGTCTCTCTCTCTCTCTCTTCTGTCTCTCTGTCTCTCTCTCTCTCTGCTCTCTCTCTCTGTCTCTCTCTGTCGCTCTCTCTCTCTCTCTCTGTCTCTCTCTCTCTCTCTCTGTCTCTCTCTCTCTCTCTCTGTCTCTCTCTCTCTCTCTGTCTCTTCTCTCCTCTCTCTCTCTCTCTCTCTCTGTCTCTCTCTCTCTCTCTCTCTCTCTCTCTGTCTCTCTGTCTCTCTCTCTCTGTCTCTCTCTCTCTCTGTCTCTCTCTCTTTCTCTCTCTCTCTCTCTCTTCTCTCTCTCTGTCTCTCTCTCTCTCTCTCTGTCTCTCTCTCTCTCTCTCTCTCTCTCTCTCTCTCTCTCTCTCTCTCTCTCTCTCTCTCTCTCTCTCTCTCTCTCTCTTCTCTCTCTCTCTCTCGCTCTCTCTGCAGGTGAACGGTGCTGACGTGGTGAAGGTGGGTCACCGGCAGGTCGTCTCTCTGATCCGTCAGGGAGGAAGTCGTCTGCTGATGAAAGTCGTCTCTGTTTCCAGAAAATCAGAAACCAACATGGTCAGAAAGAAAGGTACGAGCCTGGCCTGCCTCGCTCACTGTCATGACTGTGTGTGTGACAAAAATTTATAATGGAATATTGGTGGCAGAAATATATGTTTTCTTTTTAATAATAGTATTTATTCATCTTAATTTACCACAAAATTATTAAAAAGACAAAAAATACCAAGCAGGATTTGTGTCTTACTTACTTTGAACCTGTTATCTGATTGGCTCTTGTATTGTAGCCCCGCCCCCTCCAAAACGAGCCCCCAGCACCTCGCTGACACTCCGATCCAAGTCCATGACCGCTGACCTGGAGGAGATAGGTAAAGCAAACAAACAAACACACACACACACACACACACACACACACACACACACACACACACACACAGTGCAGAGTATCATCAAACTGTAGGAGTGTGTGTTGTTGACCTTTGCTTTGTCTGCAGCCAGGAGGAGACGCATCGGTGAGTCTCATGATACTGATGGTCGACGGTGTTCAGTGTTTTAAATGTTGTGATGTCACAGTGATGTCATGGTGTTTATAAGTGGTGGTGCAGTGATGCAGTGATGGCTCAGCTGACAACACTGACCGTTTGTTTGTTCAGTGATGGATGTAGTGAGACCCCCCCTCCCCTATGTGCCGGTCTCTTCTGATTGGACAGCTCTCTGGAAACCTTTCCTGGGGGGGGGCTGAACGCTGCAGGGCTGCCAGGGGAGGGCAGCTCTCCAGTGCTGGGAGAAGGGTCTCTGAAAGAGGTTCCACCTGCAGACTTCAGTGTTGCCACGGCCCGTCAACTGATGTCGTCATGTTGCCATGTTGTAAAGTTGGTCTTGTTGCTGTCGTGTTGTGAAGCCTTGTGTTTGTCTCTCAGTTCTGTCTCTTCTTTTTGTCATTTATGTTGTGTTCACTGTGTCTCTTCCCTGCAGAGAAACTGGACGAGATGTTGGCCGTGGGTCAGCAGGAGGTCGTTTTGAGGGCACGCCCGTCGGACGACTTCAGAGCAGCGACGGTAAAACAGAGGCCGACGAGCCGCAGGATCACACAGGCTGAGATCAACGTGAGACAAACTGTGTGAAGGTGTCACACTTACTGTTCACGTTCTGACTCTCAGAGACCTGAACGTTCTTCTTTCTGTTTGTGTGTGTGTGAAGTCTTTGTTTGAGCGTCAAGGTCTGGTCCCCCCCTCGGCTCCAGAAAAAAGCACCATGGCGTTACCAAGAGGAATGTCCAGAACCAAAAGCTTTGGTAAGACACACACACACATATGCAGTTTTTACAGTGTGCAGGAGTTGGTCTGCTTCCTGTTGGACAGGCAGGTGACAAACTCTGGCATTTATCTTGTGCTAGCGTGTGTTAGCTTGCAGTGTAGGTACAAGCAGTAATCGTACACGCTACGTCCTGCAGTGGGCGGGGCTTCTGGGGCCGATGAGCCCAGGAGGAGGGGCCCAGATTGAATGTTGTGTTTACAATCTGCAACGAACATTTCTACTGACTCCAATTTGAAGTTGTTTCAGTTTTACATTAATTATTTATATTTTTGAATGCTATGAAAATAATTTATTTCATTTTTTAGTCAAAATTATTTATTCATCCAAAAATCACAATTCCTGACCCATATTTTCCCGTACATTTCCGTCTACATATTTTTTTGGTACCTTGGTTTTTATGTGTCATTGGTTGCCATGGCAGGCACACCTGACGACGACAGGATCACAGCTCTGATCAACGAGAGTCGGTTTCCAAGGAGCTCCTCGCTGACGGACAGCTTCATTCCTCCTCCCCCTCAGACAGCTCCGCCCCCTCCTCCCTCTGCCTCCTCCACCTCCACAATCTTTCTCCTTGACTCTGGCCCTCCCCCTTCCTTCCTTCCCCCTCCTCCTCCTGCTAGAGGGGAGGGCCTAACTCGCTCCAGCTTTAAGCCGGGGACGGAGCCAAGGCTCCAGGAGCTCTCCGATGCACCGGCGAGGAGCCACGCCCATGCAGAGCGGCAGAGGAAGGCGAGGTCAATGATCATCCTGCAGGATATGCCGCCTCAGCTGCAGTCTGAAGCACACAGCTCCACGCACACGCTGCACACTGCCACGCATACCGCCACGCACACGCTTCACACCGCCACACACACCTCAACCCTGTCCCTCCACAGCACCAGCCCGGCCCTCGGTCACTCTCCACTGTCACGCCGCCGGGGAAGACCAATAGAAAACCCCTACGCTAATGTGGGACAGCAGGCTCCACCCTCCAAGCCACAGAGGAGGAAGTCACCTTTGTTGAAGCAGCTTCCAGTCGAGGAGCAGGGTTAGAATCGTTCAGAACTGTATTCTATAAATGTTAACAGTTATCCAATGATATATTGGGTACATAATTGATTTAGTATTCTCTCCTTAAAATGATTTATTTTCATATAAAATATGCATGCATGCAGAAAAAACTTTTATCGGCATATATTTTTCAAACACAGAAACAGTCAGTCCTTTTAATCAACCCTGCTATTCGTCTTAACTCCTTTGTTTTCTACTTTTAGGACTCGGAATGAAAGATCACGATCCAACAAAGTTAGACATACCCGGCAGCCCCAGTAGGGCCGAGTTGTACCAGCAGCAGGTTCTGTCAGAGCGGGCTCGGGTTCAGGGCCGCAGGTCATCTCTCTTCCTGTCTGTGGAGGGTTCTGGGTCCGAAAACCAGGTGCCACCTCTTTTGACTCAGAGCCACTCAATGGACGACCTCGGAGAGCTTCCCCCACCGGCCCCGGTCCTGTCGCCCTCACCGACACCTCACACCTTCCTCCATCCGCTGACAGGGAAACCTCTAGGTTAGTCCAACTGCATAATCTTACACGATCCTCTTGTTTCTTGTTTTTAAGACTTTGGCTTAGCGTTTTTTTAAATCAAAAGTTGATATTTAATAATAACGGTTAAGTTGGACTGGAATTGGTTTGATCAAATCCTGTAGGTACTCAACAAAATACAAGAAGATCTAGGATAGATAGAGACTTGAGACTCCCAAAAACCTAGGGCAAAGCCATGAGGTTCTCCTCTAATTAAAATAAGATGTCAGCCTTGAGGTATTTGACAGTCATGCAACACACACATGTATATACATACATGCACACAAACAGGATCATATGGACATGCACTAATGGAGAGATGTCAGAGTGATGGAGCGGCTCACAGTGGGCACTCCTAAGCTGATGGTGGGGAGGGGGTTTGGTGCCTTGCTCAAGGGCACCTTGGCAGTGCTTAGAAGGTAATCTGGCACCTCTCCACACTGGGACTTGAACCAGCGACCCTCCGGTTCCCAACCCAAGTCCCTACAGACTGAGCTACAGCCGCCCACAGACTTGAGGTACTCCTCAAAATAGAAGAGGAGCTAGAACACAGCCTTGAGGTACTCCTCAAAATAGAAGAGGAGCTAGGACACAGCCTTTAGGTACTCCTCAAAATATAAGAGGAGCTAGGACAGAGACCTGTGATACTGTACAGTTCAGAGGAAGTTGTTGATGTGAAATCATCATGGACAATAGTAGACTGTCGTCTTGAGGGGTAATAGAACACCCACTTAAGATCAGCGTCTGCATCGTCAACAATTTGATAAAGCATTGAAATATTTCACTACTGAAATTTCCACCTTTAATCTTCTCTTTTTCTTTTCCTTTCTTAGACCCTTCATCTCCACTCGCCCTGGCTCTTGCTGCAAGAGAACGAGCACTCACTGCTCGCACACCGAGCCCAGAGCCTCGGCTAAAACATGTTTCTGCTTCCACTACACCTATCCCCACCCCAGCTGCAAGCCCAGAGGGTAGACACAAGCGCACCCCTATTCCCACCCCACAGAGCAGCCCTGAGCCAAGATCCAAACGCACCACCCCTCAGACAAGCCCTGAGCAGCGTTCCAAGCGAGCCACTCCTGTGACAAGTCCTGAGATGAGGCATAAACGCATAACCCCGCCCTTATTCCCTGACGGACAGGTGGAGCGTCCAGAAACAGAGGGAGGGGTGACATCACCTGCTGCCCCCTCCCCTGAGCGCTGGAGACCAACCCCCTTGCCAACCCTGGCAAATGAGACTCACCCTTCTCTGATTGACAGGAGGCGAAGTCTCACAGTGGGTAGCTCAGAGGAAGAAGGCGGGGCTTACACAGTGACACTCCCCCCAGCGTTGTTGTCGTCCAGTGATGAAGAGACAAGGGAGGAGCTCCGTAGAATCGGCCTAGTAGCGCCACCCCCTGCGTTTGCCAGCATTCCTGCCCCTCCACCCCCCTGCTCACTCACCTTGTTTCAGCGGCGGGGTGGAGAAGGAGGAGGGGAGGGTCCTGACTCCCTGAGTAGACGAGTAGAAGAAGAGGAAGGCAGTGAAGAACGGCTCCTTGAAAGCACCTCCCCCAGCTCGCTTCCCCCCTCCATTACCTTGGCCTCCCCTCCAGCTCCATCCTCTCCCACCAGCCCTCCTGCGGCACAACCTTCCCCTTCTTCTCCTGCCACCTCCCCAATTGCTCTGAAGCCCCGCCTTCGTTCACCTATAGGTCGAGGGCGCTCTGCACTAAGGGATCCGCTGCTGAAGCAATCATCGGACAGTGAGCTCCTCCCATTAGCCGCGTCCTTTTCATCGCCCTCCTCCCCCCTCTGTTCCTCCCCAACCAGCAGACAGCCGCGCTATCTGTTCCAGAGGAGGTCCAAGTTGTGGGGCGGTGGGGATGATCGTGGGGATGAGCGGCGAGGCCTCAGCCCAGAGGAAGGGGGAGGTCGTCCAGCTGCACTTGGCGGTCAGGGGTCGGGGTCAGCTGTAGATCTTTCTAACAGGTCGGCATCAGCTCTGGAGTTGAGCGGCAGGGCGGGGTCAGGATTGGATCTTGCTAATCGACTGCAGTTGCTCAACAAAGACAGTCACTCTCTTGGGGAGGAGCCGAGTCCCCTCGATCCAGGTCGGAGGTCACCAGTAGGAGGTGCCAGGTACCTTCAGATGCCCATAAAACTGCAGTTTTGCTGATTTGATAGAACTACGGAGTGTGTGTGCGTGGGATTGCTTTGTAACAGAATTTGTTGTTTGTGTTGTTCCAGATGTGTGGACAGTGGAGAGAGTAAATCGTAGGTTTTTATCTCTGGTAAACACTTCTTGTTATTGTTAGTGGATGATTGCTGCTAACAGCTAACTAACATGCTCCTTCTTTACAGATGACTAACAACTAAATGTCTGAAATGAATACCCCATCAGTTTTGGGATAAAACATGCAATTAGAGCATTTGGTAAACCATACCTAACAAAAGTGTCATTGTGGCTTACTAACGTAATGAGACCTGTCAAGCTTTGTTTTTCTAAACGTGATAAGCATGGCTCTATCAAAGGAGCAATTTAAGAGTTGCCTGTTTGTCATCTTTAAATAATCAAAAGACAAAGAATACAAGGAATATGGTTCTGTCTACTTCAGTCATCTTGAGATAATTTCAACCAACTCCTGGATTTGATATTAGCCAGCTTGCTTTAGCTGATAACATCAACTGGCATTACTGGTTTCTGGTGGCAAAACCAAAAAGAGGACCTGCTTGTTCTTGTAACCAAAAAAGAGTTTCAGAATTCTGTAAGCTTTCAATGATCATGGTGATCCACGTATGCCTTTAAAGAATAGGATTCTTAATAGGGACAATAACAATGGAAATGGTCTTGATGAATGGTTAGCCAGTAGACAGACTGATAACTGTGGTAAGGATGTTTGTGTCATGTGTTGTTTGGTGTGTTACAGGTTGTTCTCCAGTCTTGGTGAACTCCACACTATCTCCCAGCGAGGATACGGGGCCAGCTACACGGTTCGACCAGGAAGCCGCTACCCTGTCACTCGCCGGAGTCCCTCCCCTTCTCCCTCCCCATCTGATAGGCCATTGGGGCATACTTCCTCCGGTTCTGAAAGGCCTGACCTGAGCTCGGGTAGAGCTTTAACCATCTTGAAGTCGTCCAGTCTAAGTCTCCCCTCAGAACCGAAGGAAGTTCGTTTTGTGATGCGAAGTGCCAGCGCAAGAACCAGGTCCCGTTCACCCTCGCCTTCACCCCACGCCTCTCCTTGCCCCTCCCCAGTCCTCAGCGGGCCCCTGTTGGCCCTTCGGCCATGGAGGCAGCGGCCCCTCAACTTGTGGAATAAATATGATGTGGGTGATTGGCTCGAGAGTGTTGGCCTAGCCGAACACCGCCAGCGCTTCCAGGAGCACGAGATCGAAGGCTCCCATCTTCCCGCCCTCACCAAAGACGACTACGTGGAGCTTGGCGTCACCAGACTGGGACATCGGATCAACATCGAGAGGGCACTCAGACAGCTTATGGATGGTTCCACTTGACCCCTCACCTCTGGACATCCTGAACTGTGATGTCATAACACTAGGCCATCTCTTTGACTAGGATATCTTAGCAGTGACTCAATCTTTAGACCTTTTTACCAACACGGAGCCAAGCTCTCTGAGTGACATTTTGTCTTATCAGCTCTTTGATCAAACAAAACGAACTTGTAGCACCAAGGTCTGAATCCAGGTTTAAGTTCTGGATTTGATTTAGACCTCCGAAATATAGTTTAGCCTCTGTTTAAGTCAACTCTAATGGGCAATTTAGAGTTATCTTGGTTGCTGCTTACAGAACACTGGCTGGCTCATACCAATGTCATTTTGGCTGATTTTTACTTTGTCTTGGATCACCAATGATCCAACAGTGTTTTCTTTGTGGTTAAAAGCCTTTTAGTATGAAGGACTTTAATTTAAAACAAACGTTAAATTCTAAAAATTCCCAGAGAATATCCATCAAAGACTGCACTGCACTTGTTGCCCACCCTGTTTTGCACCAACATTTTGAAGAGCCCCCAAAATACAAAACCTAGGGTTCATTTACTGTAGGGATCAAAGGGATCAATGGTGGAAAAGTCAAATCTGTGCATCTCTGAATTCACGTTAGCTTGGTTCGTACAAGTCGGAGGAACTCCAGATGGCTTTGTTAGCCCCAAATTTGTGTAACTAATGGCAAAATGGTTTAAAAGTGATTGATGCTGGCAATTGCGTCATGATTAAAATCCACTATTGACTCTGATTTTACGATCACTGCTCTAATACCCAGTGACTTCAACTATCGAGTCCCATTTGAAAAGTTGGAAAAAGAAAGTTTCTGGCAACGGAGTAATGGACTATTTGAGCCTTACTGACTCTCTAATGGATAACACATTAAAATGTTAGCAGCTGCTAAGGTTAGCAAGCTAGCAATATACCATTCTCTGTGTAGGCTGGCCTGGATCATCAGAACATGTAAGGATTGTCAGAGTCTTATTTAATGTTGCAGATCATGTGAAAGCAAGCTTATAACGAGCTAGCTTAGAACATCAACACAGTGCTCTACTTGCTAAACAGCATGCTAAGCTAATTTCAGCTGGACTGCACTTCTAATCTAAAGACGTGACAGGATATTGATCAAAGAGCTGATCTGACAAACAAATATAATCACACGGGTTCTTCTCCTCGTGCCATTCTGCTTCCCCAGACAAGTTTACCGGGTCTTTAACTAGCGGAGCTGAACGATTAGCGAGCTAATTTACAACAGGACATAAGCTGAGGGTGTTTCTCCGTCCTCGTAAAGAAAAAATGTTCTTGTGACTCAACATTTTTTTTCTCCAAATATGGCTCATGAAGATTTTGTGTTTATTTCTTAATACGGATCATTTAGAATTTATGAATAACAAGTAATAATAATGTGGTGGTGATGACTTACAGAGTTTCTAATAGTTTGGATAATGATTTTGAGTTCCTTATGATTTGACAATGAGTTGAATTTCAAAGGTTGTTTCAGTGATGTTTTGGAATTCATAATGATTTGTCAATGAGTGTGACTTTGTGCTGATGTGCTGTGTGTTTCAGGGAGAGCTGCAGAAGAGCTCCAACTGTAAACCTCTCTGGTTTCTAACCTGCTTATCGAGGGCTTACTGTACATGGTGCTATCTGTTTAAAGCCATCTGTACAGAGAATACCTTCCTCCTTCCCCTCCTATTCCTTCATCACACTAACTCCTGACTCTCTTAGGTTAACCTCCAAAACGCTTAAATCTACAGTGGTTTTTTTTCAAAATTATTGACTCCAGTTTGGCTCGGCCGTTAATATCTTGCATTAATTGTAACTCAACAGGAACAGGCCATATATGGAGTTTCCTCCTTGCCATATTGGGGATTTCTTCCCTGCCATACGTGGAGTTTCCTCCAGACCCAAACCAGATTATGCCAGAGGCCATATATCAAGTTTTTTAAAAAATGGCAGTACATGGCGTGTCCAATAAACTGTTTCAAATGTTCATTAGTTTAACAAATGTGTTAAACAGGGACAAAGCTTGTCACACATATTCGCTTTTGTGAAAAATGTATCCATACTTACAAAGCCTCGTTGCAAGCTAACACGTACGTTTATATTGTAACTATACTAGATTTTGGCAAAGTAGAATCATGGAACACCAATAACAGACCAGTTAGCAATAACACACCAATCCTAATGAATCAAATTAAATAAAAAAATGAGACCTTGAAAAACATTTAATCGGAGGCTGTATGCTAGCTGAATTGCTAGCCTGCCAGCCATGCTAGTCGACGCACTTTAGGCTAATGGTGCGCTCCATTTACCTCAGAAGTCGCAGTTGAGAATGAGGTCACACCCGAGTTGACCACGTTCCAGTTACGAGTTGGTAAGAAGTCGGAAAAGCAACATGGACGCCTCCAGGTGTACCTTTGTTCTGCTCATACCAGCGAAAATAACAAACTACTTGATAGTTTAGGCGCACTTTACTTGAGCAGCCATGTTGGATTTTAAGCTCGGGTTACTGAGTTTGGACTTCAGGGCGAGATCCTGACGACATATCCGACTGGCATCTTCTGACTTCTGAGTTTAAATGGAACGCTCATTAAACCCTGCCAAGCTACACTACCTTCAAGCTAACTTTTACGTTAACATAGGCAGTAACTCACCAGATCTGATAACACCGATAACACAAGTGGTGGATACAACTCTTTTTGTTTTTTTTATCTGAGACAGATGAGAAGATGTACAGACACAGATCCAGGGTGTGTTTAGCCTAGCTTAGCTTAGCACAAAGAATCCTAGCCTAGCCTTATTCTCAAAAGTGAAAGAATACACCTTCCAACAGCAGTGCAGTAACACTAACCTGTAATACCATGTTAGCTAAGAAGCTATTTTAAGAGGAGTCAGGTGAGGGTAATGCTAACTGCTGCTAATGCTAACTGCTGCTAGAATCATAAAGTGTCGATTTTATTTTGCTGGATTTCAATAGTTACAAAAGGGAAACCAACGTGAACACGAGGACTCCCTGAATTCACTCAAAGGTGTATTTCTTTCACTTTTTAAATTTCAAACATGTTTTAAGAATTTTTAAAAACTTTCAACACTTTTTTAAAACCTGACAGTAATTTTTACTTGACATGACTACATTACCTTTCTGACATGTTCGTCCTTCCTTCTGATTCCCTTTGAAGCACAATCAACGATACAGTGCCTGTTTCCACATCAACAAATCCCCTGCATCCAGAGTTTTTTACGCCATGTTCCTGAAAACAAGCCGAGCCACAATCCTGAATCCCAAAGTTGTACAAGTTTACGATGCCCTTTCATGCTTAAAAGTTCAAGAATGTAAAGTCTATGTACAGCACATTACAGTAGACTTTATAGTCTGTATAATATATATTATGGTAGATTCATGTAGCTATAGTGTATTATATAAAGTATGGTAAACAATAAAATGTATACAGTAATATTTTGCTAGACTGTAGTCTATAAATCTTTATCTATATAGGTGATATTCAGCCTTTGTAAACAGCTACACATCTTGTCTGGCCACACACACAGACTAAGATAAAACAGTTCCAAGGAAATGCAATTTAACTGCAAATCTGTCTCGATGGTGAGAGGACATGGTTCACCTCCATCAGCAGTCGGTGCTGATTCTCGTGTAAGGACGAGGACACTAGATGACACATTTAGAGGCTTGTGTGACTTTCAGACCAAAACAATCACTCTCTCTGGACACACCTCCTTCATCCCTCAGCCCCCCCTCCTCCCCTCCTGTTTCACCACCGAGTGTCTGTGAGACGGAGAGCAGCAGACAAATGATCAACATCTGAATACTTTCTGCGATCAATTTCAAGTAGCGATATATAAAACTTAAAGACGCATCTGTTTGTCTTTTTAGAACAAAGATGGTTTGGAAAAAACATGTATGAAGCATGCTGAGCCTCTGAGCGAAACAAAAACAAGCTAACGGAAACGCCGTCCTGTCGGTGTGAACACAGAGCTGAGAACAACAAATGTAGAGGGAGTTTGACTTCACTCTCTTCTAAACACAAACTCTGTTTGAATGTCTCACCTTCAAATACCCGACTAAAGCTTCATGAAAATGTGTTAATGTCAGATTGTTGGTCTGGAAAAGTTAGGATTGTTTTTAAAGTTCAACAGAAAGCTTTTCACGCTTTGCTAAAAACGTGATTCTCTCAAAGCAGCTTGAACCTTTTAGGGCTGACGAGGGACTTTGACCACGAGCACATTTCTACTATTTGAACACAGAAAGAGGAAGTGGTGTGTGAGGAGGAAGTGCCTGTGTAGCTGTTTACACTGAGTGAATATGACATCATCATCTGTATGTAGTATATATTATAAAGGACTATAGTCTACTGTACAGAGTCGTCCACAGAGAGACACCTGGGACGTCCGTCTCTCTGAAGTGTCAAAATGAAAGCGACGTGATGAAGAGGTCAATCCACCTCTCAGCCTCCGACCTCAGGTCCCCCGCGGGGAATCCCTTTCATACAGACACGAGGTCATTCATGTGTTGGATTTCTCAGCCAATCAGAAAAAAACCAGCGACCTACTGCTAAAATCGCCTTGGTGACAAGAAGTGAGGTGGACGGTGATATGGTGTTCACTGGAGAAAGTCTGACCTCGCCAGATCGCGAATGACTTACGAGTAATTTTTTTCTAAGGATACCTTCCCCGTTTAAAAAAAACCCCTGCCTACGTGTGAACCAGGACAAACAAGAGACAAACAGCCTCGAATCCGGCCAAAAAGAATCTAAAGTTTTGGAAACCTTAATATGTGTGGTTGCTGATTTGTGTTGAATATAACTTTTATGTATTATTTTACGATATTTTATCGTATTTTGTCACTACTTTTCCTGGAGGAAATCCCTCGAGTGCTTCTTCGACTGTTCGCTAATCTGAAACACAAGTCAGCGGTGTTAGCTGTGTGCTAACAGAGGCTAACATGGCGACAAGAGAGATGATGGACTAAAGAGCCAAAATGGCTGCCACTGCATACCTGATTAAATTGTCGTGACTAACATGCCTTCACCATGGTAACGCCTCAGCTTCCTGCTGATTGGCTGAGAATCCTGTCTTTCTCACCTGCGTGTGTAAGCTTCCTCCTCCTGATATTCACCTGGTTATAATGGTTTTATGGTTCCCCTCTTCCTCTTCCTCTTCCTCCTCCTCTTCCTCCTCTTCCTCCTCCTCTTCCTCCTCATCCTCTTCCTCCTCCTCCTCCTCCTCTCCTCTCTTCCTCCTCCTCTTCCTCCTCATTCTTCCTCCTCCTCCTCTTCCTTCTCTTCCTCCTCCTTTTCTTCCTCTTACTCCTGCTCCTCCTCCTCTTCCTCCTCCTCTTACTCCTCCTGCCCCTCTTCCTCCTCCTCCTCTTCCTTCTCTTCCTCCTGCTCCTCTTCCTCCTCCTCCTCTTCCTCCTCCTCTTACTCCTTGTCCTCTTCCTCCTCCTCTTACTCCTCGTCCTCTTCCTCCTCCTTCTCCTCCCCCTCCTCCTCTTCCTCACTAGCTTCCTCTTTTTACAGGATGTTTGTAGTTTCTTCTGGAGTGAGTGGTGTGTGTGTACTTGTAGTTTTTTTTTCTTCCCTTTTCTAAAGACTGAAGAGCACACAATGACAACCGATGAGCTCTGCGACGCAACAAACAGATTGTAATCTTTATAATAAACCGTCATTTATTACAAAGAACCCCCTCTGCTTTCATGCGTTGTTGTTTTTTTTTACATCTTGAGTCAACAGGTTCGCGACCTCTGACCTCGTTTGGAAGAAGGCTCATAAAGTCGAGTTCATGACTGATGAGTGTCACCTCGACTCAGAGATAGAAACGACCTCACACTCTTCCTGCCCGCGCTGTGGACAAACAAGTAAATTGTTGAAATAACATTAAAGTGACTCATCAAGAAATGGTCGTTTATCATCTGCATAAATAGCAAATAAAAAGGTGATTATTTTTCTTAATTTAAGTCAAAGCAAATTTAGTCTTCTAGGGATGGCTGGGGATATTTTAATACATGCTGGGGCGTGTCCAAAGGGGTGGCATGGGCCCCCCCCCTAGAAATCTGATTGGCCAGCCAGGTGCCATCTCAAAATCTTAAACTGTGATTGGAACTGAAATAGAGGGGTTTATAGACATGATCAAATACAGGATCAGAGAGGATTTAGAACAAGAAACTTCACACACATGTTTTGAGGAGCTCTGAGACTTGTTTACACTGAAGAAGAAGAGGAGGATATGTGACCTTTAAAATAAATGTAAGTTTTTACATTTGACTCCGATCACAACATTGAAACATTCGATTTCAGTCTCTATTCTGCAAACAACTCTGAGCTTTTAACGATGTAAAAATAAGCTGATGAGTAAACACCTTACATCTAAAAAAAAACCCTGGGTGTGGTGAAAGCGATAAGGTGATTGGGCCATGATAAGAGCTGCACGTGCACTTGTACATTTAACCACAACTGACACCTGATTGGCTGTTACCCTCCTCCTCCTCCCACCTGCTCTCCTCCCGTTGGCCGGTGGACTGTTGACCTGCGTTTGCTTTACGATGAGCTGCAGGTTGATGACACTTTGACTGAGAGCTCCAGACCAGGTAAGAAACATGTTGTGTGTTTGTTTCCATGTTTACAGCGAGTGTGTGTCCTCATGGTTCAAGAGGGACGAGAATCTGCTCAGATCATCGCTTTAAGAGGATCTTTGTTTTTCATGTTTATCCTTAAAATCAGCTTCATTTTCTTAAGTTTTCTGTAATGAAGTCCCTTTTCTTTACTACACATTTAAAGTGTGTGTGTGTTTAGAGCTTCCACTCCTCGACATCCCTGAGGTTAATATTGTGCTGGACGAGTTTAGATCCAAATGTATTGATTTTAAAGCTTTGTTTTGAAAGGAGACCTCCAGTATTTAAAAATTGGAGCTCAAGTTTTGGGTCGAAGACGTTTGGTAACTTTTCTTGTATGCTGCTTTGGGGCAACTGGAAATATCCAAAATATGTTCATGAAACAGGTTATTATTATTTTTTTGCAGATTCCCAAAAACCTCCCAGGTTTGTGACTCATGAGGAGAGCCGGATGTTCTGGCTCTGCTGATGATTTGTTATGTTGCGATGCATAACTGGTTTTGACTTTATTCTACCTGCTCAGGTGAGACAAAGACGATGAGTAGGTTTGAATATTTAATCTTTATTTTCATGTTTTGGAATCATTATTGTCGCTTTTTAGTTATTACGTCATACTCTGCTTGATTGTTTGCTTGTTTGTTTGTTTTGGAAGTCAATATGGAGTCCATCCCGGATCTGATCAAGAAGAAGAGAGACGGAAAGGAGCTGTGTGACCAGGAAATCAAAACTTTCATCCAGGCCGTGACGAACAAAACCATTCAGGAATGTCAGATCGGTACGAAAACTTTCAACGAAAAGATTCAACGTTTCCCTGAATCTGATCTCATTTCATCACCTGCGTTTTTTCTCGTCAGGGGCCATGCTGATGGCAATCTGGCAGAAGGGGATGGTCAACACGGAGACCACGACTCTGACCCGAGAGATGATGTCATCGGGGGAGGTGATGTCATGGCCAAAGGAGTGGGAGGGGCGTGTAGTTGATAAACACTCAACAGGAGGGGTGGGAGATAAAGTCAGTCTGGTGTTAGCGCCGGCGCTAGCTGCCTGTGGATGCAAGGTACACACACACACACACACACACACACACACACACACACACACACATGCTGTTTGTTGATTTTCATTTACTGCATAAAATAATTGAATGTAGCCTCTGTGATGTCAGCTATGTTCATATTTTCCTCTGACGTCATCATGCACTTTTCAGCTATTTCAAGCTAACTTGAACTACAAAACAACTGGCGCTGCATTGTTGTGTTAGCATGCTAATGCTAGTGATCTTTATTATGCTGGTATCTTCACACTGCATGTAAATTTACCTGAAATGAGCGTGATCTAGAAACACAGTTAAGCAGTGAGTACAGTATGTTATTCTTCTTTTCTCTAGTCCCTCAATTAAACAACTTTTATACACAAGGGGAGGAGTCAGCCGGCCGTCCGGGCGATGTAAACAAAGTGAAGATAGGACTCTGAAAACTCTGAAAACATCACAGACAGTGGGACTCGGGTGTTACACCCATTGTAGACAGTCATGACTCACAGAGTTATTTTCAGAGGAGATACTTGATTTCTACATTTAAGTGTGAAAAATCACAAATGAAGACTTAAATGAATGAATGAAGTGAGAAGGCAGAGCACTTTATCATAGACTTCTATACAATGGGACTTCTTTCGCCCCTACTGGCCATTAGAAATGCTGCAGGTTTAAGACACTTCAACACTGTCTTCCCTGATTAATCCAACGGGCTTTGTCCTGTTCTTATATAGAGTCTTATATGGTCATTTCTTCTGTGATGTCATAACACTGCAGGAGTGTGTTTCTGTCTGATCAGGTGCCTATGATCAGTGGGCGGGGCTTAGCTCATACAGGAGGAACTCTGGATAAACTGGAATCAATCCCGGGATACAACATCCACCAATCAGCGATAAAGGTGACACAAGAAAAAACAACAACAACAACGCAGATGCTAAAGCTACACATGAGCTTGTTAGCATGTTAGCATTAAGCTAATAACAATGGCTTACCAAAGAAACCGTTGTTTACCGTTTACAATGTTTAAAAGAAGAGGTACTACCTGGGCAGATTGGATCTTTATACCACTCACACTAAGAATCATCTGTTCTGAGCAGCCTCGAGTCATGAACACTACTCTGACAGGAAGTGGGAAGCAGACCTCAAATAAACCAGATTATCCTGTAGTTCAGAAGTAGATTTACACTTTGTGGCACATTAAGCTGCCAAAGATAGAACCAATGAACAAAACCTGGGACAGAGTTTGACTTTGAGGTTGAACAGTTCAGACAGTATCTGTACGTCTGTATTGAAGTCATTAATAGAAGTTTACTCGTGCAGATTCGGGAGATCCTGGAATCGGTGGGCTGTTGCATTGTGGGTCAGACGGAGATGTTGGTTCCTGCAGATCGAGTCCTGTATGCCCTGCGGGACGCCACCAGCACTGTGGACAGTTTACCCCTGATTACTGGTACTGAACTACTCAATATAGGATGGAATAATACTATTAATTTATATTAAAACATGACGTTGTTTTCATTTCAGGATCCATCATCTCAAAGAAAGGTGCCGAGTCTCTGTCCGCTCTGGTTCTGGATGTGAAGTTTGGTCGAGCCGCTCTCTATAAAGACCTGCAGAGCGCTAAAGAATTAGCCCAGTCTCTCGTAAGGAATAAAACATTGTCATATTATTCATTATACCTGTCAAGATACCTGTCCAACAAAGTGATTACAAACAAGCTGCAGGCCGACTCCACAGGCGCGCCCAGATGTTGTTTTTCACATGCACTCAGTTGTTTTTGGAGCGACCGCGTTTATGGTGACGGTTATTTGTGTGATCAGGTCCTTAAGTCAAGATTTATCCACAGGAGGCGCCAAAATCGACAGAATCCAAAAGTTCCTCACAGGAGCTTTAATTACTAAAACAAATGAAACTGTTGTTATAACTTTTATTTAATGGTTACTGTGTGACTAAAGGTGAATGCAGGAAATGGCCTGGGCATGCGTACAGGGGCGGTGCTTAGCTGTATGGACGCTACGATTGGTCGATTTGTAGGAAACAGCCTGGAGGTGATCGAGTCTTTGGAGACGCTGAAGGGAAGAGGACCCGACGACCTGATGGAGCTCGTCACGACTTTGGGTAACGGCAGGACCTGACATTAACGAACGACATTAAATCATTAAGTTAACTTTCTTTTTTTCTTCAGCAGACGTTTGAAAAGTAATGTCGATTTTATTCTTCACTCGTTTTGTTTCCGTCTCTTCAGGCGGCTTTTTGTTGATGACGACCGGCTCGGCGTCCAACCTATCAGAGGGCAGAAAGAAGATTTCTGAGGCTGTGACTGGTGGAGCCGCTCTGTCTAAATTCCAGGCCATGATGGAGAAACAGGGCGTGGCCAAAGAGATGGCTCGCTTGCTTTGCTCCGCCCACTCAGATTACTACAGCGTCCTGAGAAAAGCCAAACATCAGAAGGAACTGAAGACATCAGCAGAGGGTAAAACTGTCACAAGACACAACACAACATTCAAACTAAGCCCCGCCTCCTGGGCTCATCACCACCAGAAGCCACGCCCACTGCAGTACGTAGTGTTTA